AAATGCTCGTTTCATAGTGAGTAAAGGTATCAAGAGGGCATTTTCCGAACAGTGTTCTGTTGTGTCCAGAACCTAAAATGACTTGCTACTTTGAGATCACGTTGACTCTCAGACACGCTGGTCAGATGTCGGCCGTGGTTCCCGCGTCCCGTCACCCCTAGCCAGGCTCGGACTCGCCCTGCCACCCTCCGCGGGGCCCGTCCTCGGGGCAGACCCTGCGCCCGCAGGTCCAGTTCCCGAGCCTCTGCAGTTTTCCTCAGCCCTGAGGCACTGAGGACGCACATCTGGATCACATCCCAGATGTTGTGCTGAGTCAGTGCGAGCAGACTGGAAGGCCTTTATGCTTTAAGTTACAAGCTAGAAATGGAAGAAAAACTCTGCATACTCTGCCAGTGCCCTCACCTCCATATTCAGCCATTGAATAGGGTTCCAGCCCGTGCTCTTGTTTTACCTATGGCCAGTAACTGTGCCCCTGCCCCCTGCCCGTGTTTTAGCATGTTCCCAAGGAATACGCAGTGCCTTAGCATTCTGTTAAAATTAAATAAGGCAGCACCCAGCGTCGGATTATAAAGGCCATAGACGAAGCGCCTTCCAGTCAGTGGCTCAGGAGTGTCACCACCCCATGGTGGCGGCCGTCCATTTGGCTTTGGCTTCTGGCTTCTCCAAGTTTCCCTTACGATGCACCTGCCTGCAGGAAGGAGGTGGACAGTGCTCTGACGTTAGGCCAGAATGAAGACCCGGACAGGGCCAGAGCCGGGAAGGCTCCACACCCCCAGCACAGGCCCCTCCTGAAGCTCTCACTGTTACAGGAAAGATGGCGCCGGGCGGTTCCTCCGCCTGCGTTACCCCCACCCCCCGCCCCCATCCCTGACGTGAGCACAAGGCTCGTTTCAGACAGGACTGTACAGTCACTGGTCTCTCCAGGTGCAGTGCTGATGCTGGCTTTGTTTCTGATAAAGGGCAACCAGATCCTGAGTGGCCTCTCCATCGACGAATACAAGACCACGCTGAAGATCATCAAACAAGCCATCTTGGCTACCGACCTCGCGCTGTACATCAAGTAAGTGTCGGGGAGCATCCGACATAGCCAGGTCCGCAGTGACTGCCCGGCTGCGGACTCTGGGCATTCTCCACGATAAGGACAGATGTCCTGACAAAGCTGTTTATTTCAAACTGGAGCGTTGTCTTCCATGAAGCCAGGACATCTACTGTTATGGCTGACTTACTGCTGGACATGACAGGAGGTTGTTCCTAATGTTGATAACCCGCCTCTGTGACGCTGTGACGCTGGCGTGTGCACCCCAGCCAGCTCCACAGCCTGGGCTAACACATGGCGGCAAGAGTCAGGGGCCTGGACAGGTTGCTGAGCGAGACAAGAGCATCTTGTCCGCATCACTTGATTTAGTTAAGGGGTTTCTGGCAGATCAACGAGCGACTGCCTTAGAGTGTGTTGGGGTGTGTATGTGCCTGCACAAGTCAGTGGCCTTTCTCCACGCCAGATGGGGTCTTGCCCACACCAGATGGAGCTTTCTTACCTCGGTTAGACTCTGCAGCACTTGACAGTCCACCAGGGTACGAGGAGATGGGATGAACTTCAGGTTACACACACCAGTTTGGCAGAGTGGTGGCCCTGTCAGAGTTTGAGAGACGCCTGCCACCGCAGAGCCTTCTCAGTCCTTGGAAGACACAGGGCCTCTCCTCAAGAGCTCGTGGGAGGCTTGCTTGTCCTTCCTGGAGCTCAGTCACCGCTGTCAGCGCTGTGCTAGGCCAGTTTGTGTCACGATGCGCTTGTCTCTGTCTGGCTTTTTAACACTGGAAAGAGCATCGCCCAACTCCTGTCTTCGACTTGCCCAGGCGTCTCCAGGGGAGACGGTTAGTTCACGCTTGGTCTTTCTCTGCTTCAAAAGCACCTCACAGCTTTGTTCTGACGAGTAACAGCTATGAAGATGTTTTATCCTGTACAAACAAGGTCCGTTTAGTTGAAAGTAGCTCTTGTGCCATTTTAATGTTTCATACGAAGGAAAATATTAGGCCAGAAAGTGAGAAACTAAACAAAATCTGCTCCATGAATCTTTGTACCCAAAGAGACACAACCCTGCAGACTACTGACTCACACCCACCAATTTTTTTTTTTTCTTCAAGGAGGCGAGGAGAATTTTTTGAACTTATAAGAAAAAATCAATTCAATTTGGACGATCCCCATCAAAAGGAGCTGTTCCTGTAAGTAGTTGCTGTACTCAAAGCCTAAGTCTGCTCGCAGTCGAGCCTGCGTCCGTCAGACGTTAGTGCCGTCGCTTGTTAACACGGGGACAGTCTCGGAGACTCAGAATTCTCCGGAGGGCCAAGGGCTGGTGGGAGCACTGACCGAAAAGCAGAGCAAGCTCAGGTGAACAGACCCCTCCTTTGTTAAATGTGGTGGGATATTAGCGCCAGGCTGAGGGCGGCTGTGGGGTGTCCTTGTGAGGAAGGGCAGAGCACTGGGGGATCCCTGTTCCCCTCGCCTGCCCTTGGGGCCTTCCCTTTGTGCCACGCCTTTGCCTTGACAACACTGGGTCAGGGACAAAGAGCACAGGTGTGGGTTTTCTCAGGAGAAAGGAATCACAGCGTAATTCCTAGTGGTGTGTGCTCGGCTGTGCTCACAGGTGAGCCCGAGCTCAGCTGCCCTGTGGGTGGGGACCCAGATCATGTCCCGCACGCCTGGCTTTCCGATTATCCAGGCCGCAGCAGGTGCACGGTGCTTGAGGACATGTTTTCCTCGGGACACCCGGTGTGGGACTTCACCCTGAGTGTTTCTCCCTTGCATCAATGGTCTTTCGGTCTGTTTCTCCAAATAAATTAAAAAGATGAAACGGCGATTTTTGGATATGGCATGGGAAAACCCCGAGAGAAAGAGGGGCCCATTTTCCCGGGGGAGTTTGGTGCTTACAGACTCTGAAGCACCCACCACAGGCCTGGAGCCCTGCGTGGTCTGCACTTCTGTGGAGGGGAAGCATGTGGCCGTCTTGCCCTTGGCATCTCTGGCTTTTCCTGCAGGAGGCACCATGCACGCTGGGCAGGTTGGGGTGCCTGCCTAATGCTCTTGTGGGACGCCATTCCCTCATCTTTTAACTAGCACTATTTACTGAACACTAGCACCGAGAATAGAGGGTCAGGGTGGGGTAGTGCAGGCAGATTTTTGCCCACGTTAGCCATTTCTCCCCGAGCCAGGGTGGCGTGGCACAAGGCAGCCTGAGGGCCAGGTCTTGCAGCTCGGTGGCTGATGAGCGCTGTGGCCCCCTGGCGTCCCTGGACCAGCCATGCTCTGTATAACTTGGGCTTCAGCCACTGCCCTCCCCACGCGGTTTCATGTTTTGCCATCGGGACGACTTCCCCCGGGGTGGGTCTGTGTGCCAGTTGAAGGGACCGTTGGCCTTCTTTTCCTCAACAGAGCCATGCTGATGACAGCGTGCGACCTTTCCGCGATCACAAAACCCTGGCCGATCCAGCAGCGGGTATGTGGCTTGGTGATGATGCCAGTGCTCATTAGAAAAGTCTGTCACTTTTACTGGTCCCTTCTGAGACATTTGTGGGCGTTTTAATCTGATGTTCAAACAATGCTAGAATGGGACACAAATGGACACAAACAGGTGACGTTGTGAGCTACTAGCACTTGATCAGATAAAACTGAAATCCGGCCTACTTGAAACACCGTAAGTGGGGGGGGCCGTGTGTCCTGAAAACTCTGGCCACGCGGCGGAGGACGAGGCTTTAGCCCGGGAGTTGTGGCCTGACTGCCCTGCCTGGGTGGTGAGTGTCACGCCGGGTTGATGGCTGTGACAGTAGAGAAACTGACAGGGCAGTTTCTCCCGGGTGCACATGTCGCTTTCCCACCACGGGAGAAGGGAACTTGTGTGTGCCAGGGTCTGTTCCTACAGTGGAGTGATGACGAAGGGGTGTGTGTGTCGGGGAGGAGGCAGGTCAGAGGAAATGCTTAAAGTACCCGTTATCTGAGAAGGGGGTGTGAAGTGAATAGAGCTTCATATTTACTGGCACTTAAAAAGTCAATTAGATGGCTTCTTATAGGGGAAGGAAGGAGTAAGATCAAAGAACAGCATTAGATGTTAGTTACTAGAGTGAACTGATGTAATTTTGGAATCATGAGTTTTGTAAATTCACGATCTATTGGGACTAAAAACACCAGATTCAGTTGCAAAACCACACTGAAAAGAAACTTGCTTTCCAAGCCACACTCAGGAATTTGTTTGGGCATCTCTAGTGGGATGTACCCTAAAAGCAAGAAGAATTACCCCCAGCACTAGTAGTAAGTCTTCTGCAGTAATTCTGGAGGTGCTGAGGTGTGTTGGGTCAGTGTCGTGGGCGATGTGGGGCACGAGCAGACGGGCTACGTCAGCATGGCTGACCAGTTGGATTTCTAGTGTGGCTGGAATGAAAAGGCTTTCGGCGGGGTAACATTACGCAGCAATCCCCAAACTCCCAGGTCTTACTTGGGAACACCTAGTGTTCACACTGAGATTTCAGAACACCTCGGTTGAAAGGAACGCGAGTTTCTTTCCTTGATGTAATTCCGAAACGGGAAAGACAGCAAAGGTCCAAAAATGAGCCTAGAAATCTTTCTGTGCAGAGAACAAGAAACTAGGGAAGAGCAAGGGCGTTGCCGGGAGAACAGGGAAAGCTACTTCATAAGGCCCTGGGCCAGAATGCAGGCACTGGGCTTCAGCGGGCGCAGTGAGGCGCGCCAGATGTTTCAGGGCGAGAGTCCAAAATAATCCTAAAAACCATCTTTCATAGCTGCTTCAGAATCAGGCTGATTTTTGAAATGGCAATTAGAGAAAGGTGTTGCCTTAGGAGTTACGCCTCAGAATAACGAAATGGGCACGGGCAACTTTATTTCAGCTAAGAAGGAAACAGGACTTATTACTTCGTGACCTTTTCTGCAGCCCCCACCAGTTAACGTTGGTAAGTAGAGGTCAGTCAGGAGGCTGCTGTCACAGAGAGGCCACTGGGCAGCACGCAGCTGGGGACGGGGAGAAAAACCAAACCACTCTGAGCAGGGCACAGCCGAGAACAGACACGCAGCCACAAGCCAGGTGTGAGGAGGGAGGGTAACGGCCGACCCTGTCCGGACATGGGGGGGCAGCTGTAGACCACAGGGCCCTGCCGGCAGCCTCGGCGTGCAGAAGTGCACTGGTCCCGGCGTGGGTGCCACGGGCCGCCCCGATGCAGTTAACCAGGCAGGTGCCACTTCTCTCCATCTCTCCGACTTTGGTCTATGCTGTGGTAGAGGCTACGGTTTGCTGGGTCATGTCACCGCCAGGCTCAGTCTGTGCTCTGTTGCAGATAGCCGAGCTGGTAGCGAGCGAGTTTTTCGACCAAGGAGACAAAGAGAGAAAAGAACTGAACATAGAGCCCGCGGTGAGTATGCGCCTTCTCGGCAAGCAGCACCGGGGTACGCGTTTTATTGTAGGGGTCGGTATAAAAAAAGACTGCTCTATCAGGGCGTACCCACTTCCTTTGGCCATTCTTTTTCCATGTGGATGTTGGAGCCACTTCTCATTTTCCCAGATCCTCCTGTACGTATTTGGGGTGACTCCATGAAACAGACGTAAGCACGTCTCCCCACTCTGCGTGTGGTGTGTGCGGGCTGCAGGGAGGTGGAGCTCCGGCCGAGCTGCCTTACAGCGAGTACCTGAAAGACAAGAAGACGATTTTCACTGTCTTTCGGAAGGAGTGGAAATGAGCGGTTGTTTAGTTTTTGCAATTCCCGTGAGCCTTTGGGGAGCCAGTCAGGGAGGCCCAGCAGCGTCCAGCCTGTGTGTTCTGCCGATTCTGTGCCCCATCAGGGGTCGTGCAGCAGCTCAGAGCTTCTCAGACCTGGGGGGAAGCAGAGTGATGGGCAGCGACACGCAAATCTGCTTCCTTCTCCGCAAGCCCGCTGCTGGCGTGAGCTCTGTGCAGTAAGCTCCCTCTGTGGACTGAGTCAAATGTGACCTTGGGGCTTATGCCCTAAGCTGGGGTCAGGTCTATAATCCCCAGACAGCCTCCCGCCTTCTGCAGAGGCGCCCACTCTCCCAGGCACGGACCTGAGAGCTCGCTGCGGGCAGACCGGGGTGGCTGGGGGCCGCGGCCGGGTGAGCAGCTGCTGTTTCTAGAGCTGCTCGTCCGCTAAGTAAATGAAGGACTCTCTGCCTCTGTTTCGTTTTTTAGGACCTGATGAACAGGGAGAAGAAAAACAAAATCCCCAGTATGCAAGTTGGGTTCATAGATGCCATCTGCTTGCAACTGTATGAGGTATTATGAAAACTACTACGTTCATTGAAATTGGTGGTTGCGAATGTAAATCAAGAGAGCTGAAAAGATGAACTCTAGGCATGTGTTATTCAGTCAAACATATCAGGTTTGTTTCTGTGCTATTTGCTATTTATCAAAAACCTCAGTTCCTCCACGTGTCACTGCTTAGGGCCCCAGCAAGCCCTGTGTGCCTTACTCTGGGTGGGGATGAAAGGGTTACTCGTTGCCAGTGCCCATTTCTGTACAGCTGCTGGCTGAGGAGTCTTGTTTTGAACTGAGAGGTGAAGATGTTCTCCCTGAACATCGACTTTGCAGTGGTGATGTTCATGTGCAAAGTAGAGGCTGTCATCTTTAAAGCACCGTAAGTTTTATTTGGCACGAGGCCGCTGAGCAGGGAGTTAACAGTTAAGCAGCCAGACCAGAAGGAACCCTGGAAGTCTGCTCGGTGGACATCTCACCGGAGGTGGACTGGCCGCGGGCCAGCAGGTAGGTGGCTGTGGCCTCGGGCTCGCCTGGGCCGGCCGCTGCGGAGGACGGGACAGGAGGGCGGTCGTGTCCTCCTCCCTGCACACAGAAGCAGAAGAACAGGTCACACTTTCTCCACATTCGTGCTTGTGTGAATGTGCTCGTAAATCCCACTGTTGTTAACAAGAAGCGTTGAGGACATCTTTAATAGCGCAAAACGGTGACAAATGTAATCCTGGCGGGGGGGATTTTAACTCAATTTCAGTGTTTCTGTACAGTAGCATAGAGCAATTCTTATACCCAGTTATTTATGGTACCATAGTGAAGTAATTGCATAAGGACCCTTTTCGAGAAAACCACAGAGCTGAGCAGGCTCAGGGAGGCCTCTGGCGAGCAGCAGGAGCCCAGCTCACCCCGCAACACCTGCGCGGCTGTGTGCTCTCGGCTGCTGGAACGCTGCGTGGGGGTGGCTGGCAGTGTGGACAATGCTGGAAATAAGCCCCCATTTTCTCTTGCTAGGCCTTGACCCAGGTCTCCCCAGACTGCTTCCCTCTACTGGACGGCTGCAGGAAGAACAGGCAAAAGTGGCAGGCGCTCGCAGAGCAGCAGGAGAAGACCCTGGTGAACGGGGAAAGCAGCCAGGCCAAGCGGAACTGAGGGCAGAGCGCAGGCGGGGCGTCTGTGTACCGCTGCTGTGTTTGCAGTCACGCAGGTGTACAGAGCCTGTGGCGTCTGCTCAGGCGCCGACCTGGCCTACGGTCAGTGCGTGCATCGAGGGGGTGATGTCTGCTTAGGGATTTACTAATGTTTGGAATCTTTTTCAAAAATAGGCTAGCAGGAAATTGGGTTTCTTCTGCGACACTTCAACCAATGAGACAGAAAAGAGGTCGGGAGTGCTCGCTGAATCTGCTGGGGCTGAGTTCAGTGCAGTCCCTGGCTCCAGAGGTGGGGTAACATCGTGTAGTCCCACCTACCTGATGGTCAGCAGGTTCCCTCGGACACCATCCCTCACTGCTGGATGGAGGGGTGCGTGGGAGCCCTTGGGTGTCTGTCAGTGAAGAGGAACAGTCTGGATTACGGACTTGCCTTTTTAAAATAACTTCCTCATTTTCATCTCCTTACAAGCCATTGCTTCTAAGTCAGCTACTTAAATGGCAACAGGAGAAATGCTGTAATGGGAGCTCACTGCCTGAAGCGAGAGATGCCTGCTGATAAGGAAAGGCACAAATGATTCCCTAAGGAGAGTCTTAGGATTTTTCCTAATACTGGATCAAAAATTAAATCAAACACTGAGGTAAGACATGATAGGCCTGAAGAAAACTTAGCAGTACTGGTTTGTGACTGAGACACTGTCCTATTTGAGTCTCTAGGACTAAGTCTACCCAGACTCATGGAGGTGCTTGAGCATTCAGTGGGATTCATTTCTCAGCTTTCAGTGTGTTTAGAGAAAGAACGTCACCATCTCCCTGGGATTGCGGGCTCCCGGGCCAGTGCGCCCCTCCAACTATGCTGGAGACCTAGAGGAGATGTGTCAGCGGCCTCCACAACTCCCGTCACTAAACAGTTTCTTCCCCACTCATCATTGGTCTCTATTCTTACTATCAGCATATTATATCCCACTACTGGAGCATCTAGAAAATGCGATATTGTTACAGGATTATTCCACTTTCATGCCGCCACATGGCGTCAGTAAACTGCCACTGGTGTCCAAATTAGAGACTCACTGGTAACACCTGTGCCTGCATCCAGAGAGCAGGATTCCATAGTGCAGAACAGCCATGCTTATAGCCTGTTTTGACACATAAATCTAGTCACATACTTTGTTAAGCCTGTTACTCATCAGATTTTAGGGGACACAGATGATGGGCGGAGCATTTGGATGTATGACTTAATGTGTCTAGATTAGAAATTGTTTTGGTTTACCTTTTGCAACTTAAGAGATATTTTAAAGAGTTAGGCAGTGCTATGCCTATTTACTTACTACGTGTGGTAATAATTTTAATCATTCCATACATGAACTAATATTTGGTATATGGGCACAAATCAAAGTATTTCTTCTTAAGACTCTTTCCTGGCTGATAGGTTCTCATAGAAAAACCGGAAGTACTTCTGCTCCCCATACTCTGTATACTGCCCGTAACTACCAGTGAACGCCAGTCAGGTAATTTTGTTTTAGGGACAGCTGAGTTAGGCAGGTATCACCTTAAGCCATGACAGTCCTCACCTCTGGAGCTGTGCTGTCCAGAGTCACAGGCGCCCGGAGACCGCTGGGGCTTCCTCGCCGGAAAGCGGAGACAACAGCTGCTGCGCGTTCCTGCTCTTGAGCTCCTTCGTTATCAAGAGTGGTTTTCTTCCATGGACACATTGGAGACTAGAAAATGATGAAAATATACTGGACATTAATTAGAATCTGGGTGGAAACTGGCCCCAGGTGTGTTACCTACCAGTGAAGTAAGTGCCTTTTTCTGTAGCACAAAACACAGATACTAGACTTGCTCCAGTTTTACTTTCCTGTGTTTTTCACCAGGCTGTCCTCAACCTTCACAGGCCCTCAAGCAAGGCAGGGGTGGTTTTGAGGGGGAGAGGTGTACTTACAGTCCACTCTTGGGGGCCCATACAGGGGGAGACTTGGGGGCCCCGGGCTCAGCCTCTGCACTAGCCTGTTATTGTGTCTTCATCTCTGCCTGGATTAATAAAATTGGCCGGCGAGCATCCTGTGCTCTCACCAGTCTAAATCGCTCACGAGTCGCAGTGGCGTGTCCTCCCTGTGCTCACAGCGAGGCAGGGCTGCTCGGACTATTCCACTGTGCACGTTCTGACCCTTCTGCTCCACGCAGGGAGTGAAGGACTACACCTCCCTTCCAGACACTGCCCCAAAGCCTGTGTGATTGTGTCTTAATGAATGTTGTTGAAAACAGTGTAAATAGGTAATATATATATATATTTCTATTACAGTTTAAGAATGAAGCATCACTAGCCACTGTTCGTATCTATTTGTACTCTTGTAACTTTTCAATATATTTGAACAGATATATAGTTTCTGGCACTATTTTTGTACTAGGCTACAGGAGCTATTACTATGTATATTATGCCAAGCTTTATGAATACCTGTGAATGTCGCCTCTGGGCCCCTCCCCGACCGCCACACGGACCCACCTGAGCTCCCTGTGTCGCCGGCGGGCAGTTTCCATTGTGCCAGTTCTTCCTGGCGGTGGTGTCCTCGTGTTGCCATGCTTTGTAAAAATAAAAATAATGAACAGTAAGTACAGGCGTTATGTGGTTACTAGAAGCTGGCATCTGAGGTGCACTCGCGGTCTTACTGTGAGAAAGAAAAGTGGTTTCTTGCACATCTGTGTCCTGCTCCTACGTGAGGGTGAAGAAGACAGGACAAGGTCTGTGGGACCCCAAAGGGGGCAAACATTCTTCTGTGAAAGAATTGGCACTACTGAGCCTTCCTACAGCCCTGGCTGGCAGCCACCTGCCCTGTGACCATCTCTGCTCCCAGGGGACCACGTGTCTCCCCTGGAAAGCCTGGCAGCTCAGACTCGGACCTCGTTCCGTGGCAATAGCTCAGCCTGGAGGTAAAGACTCCAAGCCCATCGCTGGAGGAGCGTTCATTCTGCTAG